AAGTCAATGACTAAACGGACTAAACTTAAACGAACTAATCAATAACTAAGATATTCAGCAATGTTTGGTTAGTTAACAATTTTTTATTGTGAAATAAGGAAAAATTTTTATCAATAATATAAAATTAGCATATGATACATTTAAAATGTTTTAAATAAAATCTTTATTTTATTCTCGTAAATGAATTGATATTCTCAGAAATTGATAATAATTGAATCCTTTTTCTTGCCTTCTCTTTTCCTTATACCTAAATCTATAAATTTATAATAACTTTATTATACTACCTTTTTATATACTACCTTTTTTACATTTTTTGTTCACTTTTTCAGTTGTCTATAATTACACAGTAATTTAGTTAAGAAACAAAAAGCAGAAATTAATTATTAAAATAATAGTATCTTAATTTTTTTTTTATAAATTTTTTTTTAAAAAATTATTTTAAAACGATATTAACTAAACATAACTCTTATTTAGACTTTTGTGCAATTACAAAGCCAATCAGCATTGACTCAATTACTAAATGGGTACATCAGAACAATTTGTATACTCTTTCACTTTGTTTAGACTAATTATTTATGATTCTGTAGAACCGAATAGAGAACTGGATTTATAAATTTCTAGAATTACGTAATATAGTAACATGACAGATTATGACTTACACAATTATTAAATCCTTATTATAAAATCAAAAATTGATTGTTTATCAATATGTTTAATCCCTATATACAATTGTTGTGAGGACCAAAATTTAATCAATACATAGAAATATAATATACTTTGCTTTACTCAGGACAATAATCAGATAAAGTACGTTTAATTTATTTCACTAGTTTAAAATTTTTTATTCAGCTATATTTATACAGTATCTCTCTTAAATCTGTATAATTAATTTAAAAAGATGGTAGAGATAAGGAAAGGAAATACAAAAAAATGCTTAAACAAAATTCAAAAAACATATTTTATATAGAATAAATCAAATAATCACAACTTTTAGCTCAAAGGAAAAACTAATAATCTTAGACAATTTTCAACTATTTTTACTTATTACTGTTTGGAATGCCTGGTGTCTTTTCAAGACATACGTTTATTCACCTTTAGGAAAAATGAAATTAAAAATGCAAATAATTATTTAATGAGAAATATAGAATGCTTAGCAAAAGCTTGATAATAATTCAACTGAATCAAAATTTGTGACTATCAACTATAAAAATAATATGCTAAGAGAGACTTTAAAATAAAAAGGAATAGTGAAGTTCATAATGGATGTGTTAATTCATTATGAAGTACCAATAAACTACAAGGTGACAAAATCAAGAGTACAAAATATGCAGACGTTTATTTGGACATCAGATGTGAAAAATGTTTTAATCAAGAGATAATTGAATTTATGCAGATACGATTTGAAAAATTATTCATAACTGGTACCTTAAGAGGCAATACGTGAATAACTGAAACTTCTTCAGAAACGTGTCGTCTTATACATATGCATCCTTTTCATACCTAGGATCATCAACTATTGAAGATAATAGAACTATATTTCAAGTGCTAGCATATGCAGTCCAGAATGGAAAAACATTATATTACAACAATTTTTCTAGATTAGTTGATATTTTTAAGAAATCTGATCGATCTCATATATTAGAACTTTTATTAATTTTGAGATTTTCAAGGATAGTGATCCATAAGAACTAATAAGCTATATAACAAGTGTTGCAAAACTTGGCTTTAATCACATAATTATTATTGAGAAGATTTACTTTTGAATGATCTTTTTAGATTGTTATAGTCGTATTTTTATGTGAAAAGATGAAGGTCAAATGTTGTTTCCACTTGAAAATTTTTCTGAAAAAGCAGCAAAAAAAGTTCAATAGAAGGAGATGAATAACATGGTTTGTGAAGAATAGGAATGTATTTGAATATATTAAAAGTTTTAACGTAAATATGTAAAATATTATTATAATGATATATACATTTGATTGCTAGCATATTTTATTTAATTTTTGTACTATTTTTTCTAGCTATATTTTTTGATATAATAAAGAAAAAGAAAAAACAAAAAAGACAACTATCTAAAGGTGATAGTACTCTGTAGTCTAGTAAGTCTGTAATAATAGGTTAAGCTATTTCAAGTAGTTTATATTAGATAATAACTATCTGAAGTTATACTTCTAGAATAAGGTTGTCAAATCCCTTAAATAAGAATTGGAGACCTATGAGGGCTCCTTTGAGGATAAATTTACTTAGTAAATAAGTATTCCTACTAGCTAACCCTTCTACCATTATACATTAATAGAAAAAAAATACTTTTATTTTATTTAATATAATCAATCTTATTTTTAAATTTAAATACTTAAACTTGTAAAAACTCTTATTAAATGTAATTTTTTTTATTTTTGTAGATTTTAATTTTTATTAATATAGAGATTTCATGACAAAAATTAAGTATTTTAGTTAAAATCAATAACTTTTTATTTTTAAGTAAAAGTTGTTCAGCGGATTTGATACTATTTACATCTAATATTTTTTCAAGATTAGTTTAATATTCTTGTAGAAATAACTGTTTTGTAACTTTACTAAATTAATCATACTTTTTAACTTCATAAATTAATTTGATTATTTTAATTAAAGTAAACTGTTTACTGCATATTAAGTAAAAATATTTTATATATTCAAAACTACTTATATATAAAATTTTATTTTAATTGGTTTAATATTTATTGAGTATAGTTTTTAATAATTGTATTAATTCTCAAATTTTTTTGTTTTTTTGAATATTTATTTGTATTAATAAAATGTATATTGCAAAATTACCATACTTTATAAAAAAAATAAAATTATTTAAATTGTTTTTTGAATTTTATTATATTTTTAAGATTATATAAAAAATAATTTATAGCATTATTAATAATGGTTAAAATTTTTATTTGCATAATTTTATAAAATTTTTAATGTTAGATGTCAACTATGCATATTGTTATTATAAAAATTATCTGCATAAAATCTATATTAAAAAATTATTTAGTTATATTACCTATATATATATATTTCTGAATTCTAATACAATAATAAAATATATAATTCAATATTTAATTCTCTATCTCAAGATATTCTTAACAAATTAACTATAATTTATTTTAATTTATTTATATATAACACTCCTCCTTTCTTTTCACTCTTTTATTTTACCTCTATTTTTCCTTTTATTAGAATGGATTTGGCTTAGCTACTAATATACCAAAGTTCACTTATAATTTTCTTTTCATTAACTTTCCTATAGTATTTTTTTTCTCATTTTTGTAAGAATTTGCTATAATTTTACTGCTATTTTAATAGCTCTAATTGGTTATTTATATGAACTAATTCTGTTTTTTTGAAATAATAGCAAACAATAATTTAAAAATTTAAATGATTAAAGTTAAAGCATATTCAAATGACTGTTTAATAATGAAATAGATGTCTTCACTAAAAATTGTTTGAATTCTACTACTCTTCAATTAAACTCATTTATAGCACTAAAGAATTTTCTCATCTACAATAACTATTTTATTATAGTTCAAATTCAACAATTCATTGAAAACCTTTCTAAAGAGTAATCAGCATTAAATTTATTTTGTTTTGATGATTTCTTTAAATATATTCTTCTTTACCATTCTAATTGGATAACTATAATATTTATTTCAAAGATAATATCACTGCTAAATGCATATCTTATGTTATTTTTACTATTAGGTAAAAGAAATATCTTAGAATATTAGAGTTGCTAGCTACATTAGAAGTATTCAAATAAAGACTTTTGACTTTATATTAGACATCACTTCTTTGTTTAAGATATGATACCATGATAAAGATTTCTACCATATTTGGCTATGTCTAATGGTCTATTATGATATGGTGGATATTATATAACAATCAAAACAATTTTTAAAAATAATCACTAATTTATCTATATTTGAAATTAACCAATTTAAATGCTAAATTCTTTCAAGATACAATTTTACTTCTTTTTTTTACCCTGATTAAAAGCATCATCCCACAGTATTTTATACATAAAAAATTGAACAACTTACATTTAGCCTATGCAGCACTTTTCTCATTCATGCACTTTGTGTTTTAATATAATCAAAATATATGGAATGAACATTATCAAATCCAATCCAACAAATATAGAGAAAGCTGATAACATAACCATTGATCAAAACTGGATCATATCACTTCCACTGGTTACAATTTATCTTTTACTAATATTAATCATTTACTCTAACCTGCTCCTATAGATACTATGGTCCGTCTTGGATCCCATTGGTCGAATTTTAGTGTTTAGTGGCCAAGCCCTTCCTCTCTTTTATTTTTCTTGAAAGGTGACAGACTTAATTTAGGTTAGAGTTTGATTTCGGGGAAGTGCAGGGTCGGTCTTCTATAGACTAGTCATAGATTAGTTTGTACGAGATTTTCGTGATATGTATTTTATTTTATATAGGATTTTTTATATCTCTTTGTGGAACTACCGCACTTTAAAAATAAATAAAAAAAAAAAAAATAAATAAAATATGATTGGTTGTCAATGTCCCGATTTGATAACATAAATTAATTATTTATGTGCAATTACTACTTAACGATGCAATTTATATTTTTTTTTTGTTTTTACTAAAGAAATACTTCTTTAAGATCGAAAAGGCAGAATATCATTTACAAATCGTAAATCTTGCATTTAATGCTATTATAAGAAAAGTTAAAAAATCTTGTTTTACATCAAAAATCAAAAAATCAAAATAGGAATAAATTGGGACTTTTACACTTTTAAATGATTCGTCACGTTTGAATTTTGATTTTTTATTTCGTAAAGTTTTACTAAAAAAAAAAAAAAAATTGTAGCATGTTGCCACAATAATATATATATCTATATTTGTTTATTAAAAAATCTCTATTGATTGAAAAATCTAATCGAATCATCTAAATTATTATAAAATAAATTGAAATTAATAAAAAAAAAGACAAAATTTCTATTTAAGAAGTTGATTAGCAATCTCGTCGGCTAAAGCTTTATGAACAACCCTGGTGGGATGTACATCATCAAACCAGAAATATCCATCACATTTTTGAGTGGAAAAGAAGGGCATAGTTTCGCAAGAATCAACGATATTAGTTATACCTAATGAACGCTGTCCTTCAATAGTCATGTCTCGATCGAATATTTCGTAAGAATTAATAAAATATATTTGTATATCATGTTCTTTTGATAAGTTGGTAACCATAGTGGAAAGTAATTCATTGTGTCGGAGTATGGTTGTATTTATTAGTTCCTTGAATTCATTTGATTTTGAACTAAATCTAGGGGATTTTCTCGCATCAGCCATGTTCATTATCAAAAAATAACGCGCTCCCACGGTTGTAATTAACCTTTGTATCGAGGTGGATAATGAATTCACTACTATTGCGGGGTTTAAATTAAAATCTAGAGAGAGATAATCATTTCCGGCTGGCCAAAGCTAAAGAAAGATTTATCAAATTATTTTTTTGTTCTTTTTTTTTTTTTGTTTTGTAAAAAAATAATAATAATAATAATAATCACTTACAGAGAACAAAGAATTAGTATAATCGTTATTTTTATTGGCACTAGCGAGAAACGAGTCAACCTGCTGTTTGATTCCCGGTATAATCATAGTAAAGTTGAAAGATATTATTTGACTAGGTGCAATCAAATCAGAACTAGGAAAAAAAAAAAAAGAATTAATTTTAATAAAACAAAAATATAATAAATAATAAAAATTACTTACTCAACACCCGCACCACCAAAAGCAAAATTTTCCATGGTTGCATTTATTGATAAGGTAAACCAATCACACCATATTAAACCATCCGAAAATCGTCCGTCAAAATAACGGCCGCTTGGAATCAATCCATTTGATGCTTTAAAATAATTCTTTACGTCTTTATTTTTTTTTTTTTTAAAAAAAGAGAAATAAAAATATAAATATTGTTCCGTGACATTCGATTCAATTTAAAATGATCTTTATTTACCCGAAATCGAATCTCCAAATACGACAAATTTATCAAATGAAGTCTTATTAACTGGTGCACCTTTGGTAAGGGTAAAAGATACGAGAAGAGTTGCTAAGAAAGCACTAATCAAATTCGTTTGTTTCATCGTTTTAATTTTTTATATGTTTGGATTTTTTTTAAAAAAAAAAGAAAGTGAGGATGAAGTGAATATATATATTGTTATGGTTACTACAACCTTCCTGATTCAATCAAGCCGCGTATTTCATTTTGTCAATCTGTTTATACTGTTTATAGCAAATAGCGTGCATTTTACTTTATTTCATTATTTTATTCAAAATAACTTTTGTTTATATTATAATGATATGCATTATACCAAATTAGTCAAGCCGCAGTCGTACTCATGTTTCTTAAAGTTATTTTTATCATTCTATTTGTGAAATACATAATCTTTATGGATAAAAACTCGTATTCGGTGTCGATAATTTGATTATTTGTTTATTTTCAAATAAAAGAAAAGATTAACAATTGAGAAATTTTTTGACTAAAAATTGAGCCTAAATGCATTTTGATCTAAATAATATTATTTCACGAGATAGTCAACATGCTATCGATCATTGACCCATCCAATAACTAACTATCTATGGCAGAGATGGCATTGCGGCCAAAGCTAATTTTTTGGCCATTGGCCGATTTGGTCAATTGGCTAGATTATTGGCGGTCAAATTCAATTGGCATTTGGCCATGTGGCCAAACGGCCAAATATAACATGATTTTTCCAAGGCATTTTGGCAAAAAAATTGACGCCTCCGACGGGACGTTCAATTTATTGCAAAAATGCAAAAAAATAGACGCCATCGATTTCGGGACGTTCAATTAATTGCGAAAAATTGACGCCCCCGACTTAAAAAATGCAAAAAAAAAAAAATTGACGCCCCCGACTTCGGGACGTTTCAATTTAGCAAAAATTGACGCTCCCGACTTCGGGGACGTTCAATCTATTGCATTTTTTCAAAAAATTGACGCCCCCGACTTCGGGACGTTCAATCTATTGCATTTTTGCAAAATTTGACGCACACCCGACTTCGGGACGTACAATCTATTGCATTTTTGATATTTGAGGCGTTTAAATACCGGTATTAACTTTATACTTTTTTATAGTAAATTGACTCCTAATGAATCATTTTCTTTTTTTTTAAATAACCGAGAAAAAAAAATTTTATATCAATCAATTTAATTCATATACTTAACAATGAAGTGAGAAAGATATGGGCGGCAGTCAATAGAAAAGGGGGAAATCTAAAATTTTTTTTATTGGTCCACTTGACCGATCACAATGTGCCTCAAAATGAGTTTAGGAACTAAAAATTAATGAAAATTTCAGTCCTTGTTTTCTCACCGAATTAATTTAAAATTCTCTTGATACCGTAATCGATCAGGTTATACCTTTTCTTCGGATAACAAAATTTCATTCGGTTGGATGTCGCTGCATAAAAATTTATATCCTGAGAAAATTATCAAATTCAATTGTGGATTTCGATCAAATAAGTTTTTTTTACGAGAAAAATTCTATGAACAGTTGGGATCATGTATTAAACCTTATCCAATGATGTGAACGATGACGTCATTTGTTATTATCCAAATTTGTACATTTGTTTTTGTTAAAAAAAAAAAAAAAAAAGATTTCGGGACAATGAATTTACAAAATTCTTTTTTACTTTCAAATAATTTATTTAAATTTTCATTTTTTTTTTTTTTTAATATGTTAAAAAAAAGTATTAAACCTTACTACATTCATTATTATAATCATAGAGAAGATCCAAATATTCCTTTCCCAAATATTGTTTATCCGAACCCACCACCACCGCCATTAATTAATAAATATTGTGATTGCGGAATCATGAGTATCAGGAAGCAAGTGAAATCAGGAAAGAATCGGGGGAAATTATTTTATAGTTGTAGTAAATTTGGAACTTCGATGCACGATGAAAGATGTGATTTTTTTAGTTGGGAAGAACCAAGGATCGTAAATACACCTCTTAAATTCTCAAGGCAAGGAAGAACTTGTAATGAATTCTTTTACAGAAATGAAGAAGAAAACGTAACCCCTACTAAGCCATCACATGCATCACCAGTGAAAACGATTTCTCAATTATATAATTCTAGCAAGTATAATAGAAATAACAAACCCAAATATACTTGTGAATTAAATACGTCAACAATATTTGTGGATAAAAAAACTGATCGGATGCCACGGGAGGTATTACAAGATTCTGTAGATAATAATCAAGATATTCGGAGTTATCTCAAGAAGTTGGAAATGAAGCTTGATGATACCAAAAGAGAATTGAACAGAACAAAAGTAGAGTGCAATAACCTAGAGATCTCAAATGTAGGGTTAAAGAGGAAGTTACAAGATGAAAAGGAGAGAAACGAATCTTTGGTCAAATCAAACAAAAGAATAAGAAAAGATTTAAATGATAAAAACAAAAAGATCTTGAGAATGATGCAACGGGATGCATATAAATGAACACTTTTTCTTGATATTTGAAGGATGGATTATAATTAGAATTGTTTGTGAATGTCGATCTCCCTTTTTATTTCTAAAATGGGAATAAAAATTGATGCAAATATTATTGCATTCTAATTGTCATCATTTCTTGGCATGATCGGCCTTGTTCGGAGTTAGTTTGTTGAACACACACATTCTAAGGGGGTAAAATAAGATAAAAAAAAAACCCCCGCACCGTAGAAAATCTGTTGTATGATCAATCATACCAAACTCATCTCAGAATTCGGTAAAGGGGAACTTACAAATTGGGATCTGGGGATAGCTCATCATTTTTTAAGCAGGAAAAAAAAAAAAAAAAAGGTTAGAACCTTTAGATCGCCATGATGACCTTTAAAAATTTTTTTTTTCATATAAACTTTGAATAGATGACTCATTGTATTTGTAAACATTACCTTTGAGTTGTTTCAGTTTAATTTTGTTGAATAACATAATTGCATGAGTGTTTCAACAAATTAATGAAATGAATATAATTTGATATAAATAATGTCTTTTAAAATATGTTGGTATCAGCCACTTGTCTCAAAGGACCATTGGTCAATCGTTAAAAAGGATAAAACATTAACCGGCTTCAGCCAAACCTTGTCGATTGATTTTTCTTCTATATAGAATCTACCCCTTGTTCCCGACTGAGCTATAAATATCAACTAACCTAGGAAAAAAAACAGCAAATGAGAGAAATACTATATGAATCAATTTTGTTTAAAATCCGAGGATTGATTCGGAGATGGACCGAAAAGGATTTAATGGATTATAAAATCTGATTATTATGCAGCGGTATGATCATGCGATTTACTTAATTTAATTAGTAAATTTATATTTTTTTTAAAAAAAAACAAGAAAATGAAGTAAAATTCCAATTCGCATTAAACAGATAAAGAAAGAATGGGTCACAAATGTCCTTGACTCGTATATCCTTTTTTATAAATAGGTTATCAACTCCTTGTTTGCTTCTTTTACATAATAAAACAAGATAATATCTACCTTTTTACTATTTAAAACTTTTTTTTTTTCATATTCAACCCAAATTCCTTAGCAATTGTTTGAAAATTTATGATGTGTAACCATTGATTGTTTCTAATTTTTTTCACATTATTTCTTGAACGCTTGAAGTCAATTGTATGGACATGGAACAACTCACGCTGTTTAAAAACCTTAATAAAGAATTTCCATTGGAGAATTCTATTTTTATATTTTTTATATTTGTACATCAAATTTTTTTATAAAATAAACAAACAATAAGTTCGTTATTGATCGATGATGACCAACAACGGGAAAATGTTATGCAACAGGTTGATGACTTTAATTACTTTGGTTTACAAGTGTTTGTTTTATTGGATTAAATAAATTAATGGCAGGAGAACTAATTTAATACGTTTGGTTTCTTAACCAAATAGAAAATGTAACCTCGGGTTTTATAACCGAATGTTACTTTATAATTTCAAGCCTTTCTTCGTCATTTAAAAAGGGTCGTTTCCCCCTCATACCTTTTCTTTTTCAATCAAAAAAAGTTACTTGTAAATCAATCATCCTTTTTTTTTTTTTTTTTTTTTATATATTTATATATATATATATACAAACAATCAACCTTTTCCAAGGAAAATAAAAGAAAAAAAAATGAAATCCTTAACCATCTTAGCATTTATTCTCTTATCAATTATTGCTGTTTCATCAGCCTTACCATCACATAATGATCAACTTGAAAAACGAACCTACCCTTGTCTTCATAAGAGGAACGTGTTGGGTAAAAGGACGGAAGAAAGAAGGTGTCCTTGCGCTCTTGCAGAATCAATATTTGATGGCACATCGGGTCCAGTTAAAGGTCTCATGGTTTACGCTCAAGATGAGTGTGGCAGCACTACTATCACAGGTCTTTTCAGTTCAGGTTTCGAAGACACAACCAAAAATTATACCTTTAGCATCGTTGATTTTTGCGGTAAAGTCATCCGTGACCTCACGGATGATTTGAACATAGAATTCTCTGAGGGAGGTAGCAAAGCTTTCAAAAGCAAGGTTGATTTCAACCTTAACTGTGACAAGGAAGGTATCCTATTCACGGAGAACAGCAAACCAGGATTAAACAAACGTACTTGCAATGCATTTTCCAAACGTCAAGCTGACCCAAATAAACCACCTAACGTTTTTATGCGTATCAATGAAGCTGGTGACAACTATGCTCAGGCGGATATTTTTGAACTCTAAAAACTTTTAAAAATCATCATTTTTTTTTTATTTCATTTTATTATATATTTCATAGATAGTTTAATATATACATACATAATATATGAAATCTTGTTTTTTTTTCTTTTACATAATTTTTGTCTCCTACGATAGACATTTTCTTTTAAAAAACTTTACATATAAATATTTTGATCAATAGGAAAAAAAAAAAAAAAATCTTTTTAAAGTGAATAAGGTTAAAATATTTTTTCTCATTTCCAAAGGTATGGAAGCTTAGTCGTAGTTTTGATTGATAAGCGTAGTTACTTATCAAATCATTCTCTTTTACAAAGACTTATAATAAAAAATTTAAAAAACCAAAAAAAAAAAAAATAAAATAAAAAAATAAAATAAAAATAAAAATAAAAAATGACATCTTTGGCAAATTTAATTATCCTTGACAATTTAATCATGATCAACTGAACAATCATTACGATAAGGGATTTTTGAATAAAAGAACAAACAAAAGAAATTGTCCTTGTAATAGTTTTCGTGACACGTCAGGTGCAGTTAAAAAGATTCGTTGTCCAAACTCAAAGATGAACGTTATCACATGTTTTTTTCGGATCGGGTTTCGAAGGTACTAGCAAGAATTACTCTTTTTTAAAATCGTCAATATGTCATCCGTGACCATACACGTCTCCTTTACACACCGTTTACAGATCTATACCTCATGACTTGAATTTACTCCATATAGTAAAACGCCAATTCGAAGGATGGTGGCATTAATTAAAAAATTAATAATCGTTTTTTTGTTTGTTTCAAGATTAATTAGTTCATTTTTTTTTTATTTCAAGAGAGACATTTCGGATGAATTTTATCTGATTCGGGTATTCACATTGGTATTCTTAAATTAATAAAATTAATGTGTTTGCTACGCCACGGCACAGTATTACTTGATCATGTGATTTGTAATTTTTTAAATAATCATTACAAGGAAAATATTTACTGATCATTTAGTGAAACCCATTGAGACATGTAAAGAACTATTAAATACATCGTATCATGTTTAAAGTAAATATATTATTTTATATTATAAAGAAGCAATAAAAATCACCCATTTACAAAATAATTCTATTACAACATTTTCTTCTGTTACTGAATATTAGTTTATACACTATTAAAAAATTTTCCTAAATAATAATTAAATAATTCAAAAAATAACGCTTTCCATTCACCAAGTAATTTTGGATGATAAGGCCTTCTTCTAGTTGAAATAGTTCTTGTTCGACATAATGTTCGTCCATTCTATTATTACATCTATTTCCCTTTCTTTATTCATCAAACGCTTTTCATTCTCAACCTAAAAAAAAAAATGAAATAACAATAAATCAACAACTTTATTGTAAATAATTCATTTTGAAATTTTTTTATCCATACCTATAAGTCATTGTTAAATCACCAGATGCTTTCCATATTTGAGATTTAATAGTAGCCAATGTCATGGTAGGAGGCAAGATCTATTTTAAGACAAAACAGAAAAGGGTATTAAGATATTTTCTTTTTTAAAATAAATACATTTATCTCTTAATGTGAAAATTACCTGATCTTGACAAACTAATTCTAACCATAATTCAGGTTTCATGGCATTCTTTCTTTCTTCTTCAGCAGCGGCTGTACTTTGTGAATTATTACCGGTGGCATTATCATGTTCATTACCTTCATCAGTATTTTTTTCAGCATCACCCAACGCTTTTTCTAGACACTCTGTAGAAGGTTGTGTAGCAGTCATGCTACCACCACCATTATCTTTAGCATTAGTAGGTTCGGTAACCGAATTTCCATTGATATTAACAGCGCCATTATTAGTGGTGTTATTGCTTGTTGTTAAAGGAATCGATGGCTGATCTAATTCTAATTTTTCTACTATATAAGCTAATATTTTCCTTACTCTTAACATTCTATTTGCGGTTAACCTTGCGTTTCCATTCGGTAATTCATCTAATTCAGAACCTTCATGTGGTTTTAATATGAAACTGACCTTTACAGGTTCTTTGGCGGGAATCTTATTCTGTGAAAATAATAACAAAGAATGAGCAACAATTCACCAAAAGTTTATAACCCCTCTTAGCCAACTTACCTTAATTAGAAATTCAATTAACCAAGTTGGAGCCTTTTGTTCAATAATTTCGGCATCCCTTTCCATATCACCAAGAGTACCTCTATATAAATCAACATTAGTAGAAGCTTCGTGGCTTTCTTCGCTTATTATTACGGTGGTATGTTGTGGTATTTGTATTTCCGGCGTTTCATTATGTGGATGTTGATTAAATGGTGGTTGTATTAACGGATGCATCTGTCTTATTTGATAATGATGATGATGGTTATAATGATGTGGATGATGATATAAAGTTGGTGTGGGTATTGTTGTTGATGATGATAAACTTGTTGGGGAATTGATCGAAGCATCATCATCCGTTCGTTGTTGAGTAGTATTTTCTTCTTGTGATTGTTGTTTAGCCTCATTATTAGCGGTGGAGGTGGTGGTGGTAGAAGTGGTCGCGTTAACATTATTGTTGGTGTTAGTATTAGTATTACTAGTACTTCCACCATTGCTACTTCCATTATTATTTCCTTCTGGTTTGCTATTACTATCATTTCTAGTAATTTTACTACCCCTAAAAGTATGCTTAACTCTATTCATAAAGCTAACGGTAGCCCCATTATTACTAGTATTCTGATTAACAAGTGCGGGCGGTGGTGGTTGTATGGTAGTAGTAACAACGACATTACTATTAGTAGAGGCAGGAGTACCAGTATTTACATTACTACTATTATTACCATTATTATTTCCATCTGTAGTTGTGGTACTCGAATTACCAGGCGGGGTTGTCGGAGATGTGGCAGAAGAATTCAAATGATGTGGTCCACTAAAATAATCTGGTTGTTGTGAACTAGTTGTCGCGGGAGCCGTAAATGGACCTGTTGTAAACGCTGCTAATGGTGTTGTTGGTGATTGTGGCATTGGTGGGTTCGCGTTACAATTGGCAAGATTGTGACTTGATGCGGTTGGTGATGTACATGTTGTTGATGTAGCCGCTTGTGGTGGTATATTTACATTTATTTGGGTGGAAAATAAGCTAATATGTTTTTGGTATTAAAAATAAGGATTAATAAAGTAATAATATTATTCTTCCCACTTGTACTCCTTTCTACCTTCTATGTTCACTTCCAGGTTGCTGCCGTTGTTGCTGCATCAATGATCTTTGTTGTTGTATAGCTTCATATGTTTGTATTTCTGCTTGGGTAAAATTTGCAAATAAATATCTTAATACCCATTTACCTAAATTAACTATTACAATTATAAAGGAGGAAAGAGAATTAGTCAAAAAAAAAAAAAGTAATCATGATTGGCAACGGTGATAGAAATCATCAAGAATTATTACTTCGCTGATCTTCTCTTATATCTACATCTCCAGTTAATCCTGCCTCGTCAGCATACATTTCTGCATCAAAACATTTACTCTCATCTAAATGTACTGTCAATGCCTATAATAAAAAATGATGATAATTAATACTTTGAGAGAAATCCCTCCCAAATTTAATATTACACTCCAGAGTTAATTACTTACACCGATTCTTGTATCAACGGAACACCAATTTGGTATAGATTCGGGTGTATTGATTTCCTGGGCAATTTCATCAATGTTACATTTACCAAATACTTTGACCTTAACACATTTTATAATATCCCAAAGCGTAACTTCCCCATTATTGTCTAAGGTAAGTATATTTCTACGATTATTCAATATAACATATTTAATTAATCCATGTTGTCCCTCTATTATGTGATCTGCTATCTCACGAACTGGTTCCGGATCTTCGTTATCTATATCACTATGACCGTCACCTATTGCTACGCTATATATAGTCGCTACCTCACTATCTGTCGTGGCTGTTTTTAATTGCGGTGAAGATACCACTGAAGGATAGGATGACGTTACAGCTGTTGACGTTAATTTTATTAAGGACGATGATGGGATTTGAAATGCATTTTGGGAAGTAGATGATGTTGGCGAAGAAGTTGACAATTTTATTCGATCTTTCCTCAATGGTATATCTTGCTATTGAAAATCCAAGATCGAATAAAATATTTAATTTATATATTTAATTTGAACTTTATAAGACGAGAATTGAACGAAATTAAACTCACCCATCGTTTAATGCTTGAACTACAAGTAGCAGTCCATATATACTTATTATCCAAAGCCACAAGCTAAATTAAAAGGAAATAAAAAGGGAACCCAAAAGTTAAGTAAAATCCCTCACTCAACTCACATGACCCTTTCGTTAACTTACTTTGACGATTCCAGCATTTTCTTTACAAATGGCGACACATTCACCATCATCAATTTCTTCGTATTCGCTATAGTCTGTACGAGTAACTAATCCGTCTTTAGCTCCCGCATAAAATACTTTTAATCTGGGATGATCAGAATACAAAGACCATATTGAATCTGAATGCGTTGTAAATGTATTAATGCACCTCTGCGCTGACAATGACCATAATTTTATCGTTGTATCTGACGATCCGCTTAATATTAATTCTCCATCATCACTTATTAATATTGCTCGAATGTTATCTGTATGTCCTGATAATTTCGTAATTCTTTTACCAGATTTCGGATCCCATACCTTTATAACCTGAGCCGGAGGGATCAGATTTAAAAAGAACAAATTGATTAAAGAAAATAGATAAATAAAAAAAGATTATTTACAATTTATAAAGAATCTTTACCTTTTCAGGTGATCCAGATACAAGAACGGATCCTGATGGGTTACATGTAAGTGCATATACTGATGATTTAGGTGAAGTTTCAGCTATTGTAACTAAATAAAAAAAAAATTCCGAACAAAATTTTAAAACATTGAATTTCAAATAACGATTGCTTCAACTCCTGTTATCACCGTTTGCCATACCTATAGGTTGAAAATCTCTTTCAGACAATCCTCCAAAAATATTACCACTTGAACTCGATGTTGACGGTGCAAGCCTACATTCTTTAATATCCCATAAAGCAATTTTTCTATCAAACCCTCCACTTGCCACCCATCCTGGTCCTGATGCGTATGCTAATGCCTTTATATAATCTGTATGATATCCTATTGTACATGGTGTTGATGTTTTATGTGGAAACCACAATTTCATAGTTCGATCTGACGAACACGATATCACTAAATATAATAAAAGAATGTAAGAATTAGAAGTTATTTTTTATTTAAAATAAAAAGATTTTTAAAAAGAATAATATGTCTAAGCAGATTTTAATAATATTTACATGCTTCATTGTTGTGACATAGTATTATGTCATTCACCCAATCCGTATGACTTTGAAATGATTGTCGAAACGTTGATTTTGGCGTTGGTTGCTATAAAAGATATAAAAGAAGAAAAAATATTCTTTTAATAAGTTCCTTTAAAGGAACCACCTTCCCTTTTGAAATCACTCACTGAACTTGAAGCATCTTCATCAATTTCCCAGTTCTTATCTTCATTAAATAGATGTAAAGGTATATTATCATCATCTTTAACATTTCTTTTTTTTTCATCGATGCCGTTCAAATGATTATAATTATATTTTGGTATCGTTCGTCCTCTTAAAGGTAAATGTAAATCCCATGAATTAATTACACCATCTCTTCCTGCACTATATAAAATTCCTTCCGGTTTATCAGAGGAGCCAAAAGTGGTGGTGTCTAATGCTAAACTGTTTATGCCTAATAAATGACCGTGATCATCTTTATTATGTGTTATCACGTAGCTTACTTTACGTTTTGCTGATTTTCTCATACTTATTTAATCAAAATTAATTATATTTGTCGGACTTAAACTTATTTTGATGAAATAATTATTTATAAACAAACATTGATAAATTTTTGATTCACTGATTTAAACCTTTATTAAATTTTGAATAATTTATAAGCTTTTCAATCAAGTATATATAGAATGAAAAGGTATTGAATTTTGTCGACCAATTGAATAAAAAAAAAAAAAAAAAAAAAATTTCAAGCTTCTTTATATAAAATGGGAGGTCATAAGAATTTTCGAAGATCAAAGTTTATAACAAAAAAAAAAAATTTTTTGGAATATTTATGTTTAATTTATCGTAACACCAACTTTCGTTAGCTCGTTACTAAAAAAAAAATTTTACCACATGTGATCGGGATCACATGATTAACTCTCCGAAAAAGATAATCGGCGAAACCGATTTTAAACAAGCGTTGCTTGTTATTATTTTTGATTTGTGAACCATTGAATAGCTGTATTTTAATTTTATTCTCCGCCATGTTTGATATAACATAATTGTTGAATAGCCAAAGTTCGAAATTAAAATGCGTTTACCGATCCTTTCTCTGAATGGTAAAAGAACTTAATTATAAATGATATTTATATTCCGTTATGGTTTTTATGTGTGAACTTTTATACCTTCATTTTTAGATTTCTTTCGCGTCCAAAATAAAGAAAATCATATATTTTCATTATTAGCGAATTTTGTCCTTTCTCCAAGTGGTATAAAATATAACAAAGTTATTTATTTGAAAAATCACGTGTCCTCGACTAAATTTTAAAGACGCATTAGCGCGATTATCTTTTATTTGCTGAAATAGTATAATTATTTAGTCCGGAGAATTATATTCTTCACTATCGTTCTAACGAAGCCATTATGTTCCCATGGACCAATCACGTATCAACTCGGTTTTTGAGCGGGCGAACATTTAGGTTCGTTGCTGTTGATTAATTGACCACGTGATGGGACAATCCGGCACAATCTGATTCGACCGAGATCGGTCATATGATCGGATCGCGATCCAAACCGTCTCGTTAACATCCCTAGATAAAATTGGTTGTTTATTGCTCGTTCTTTTCTTTTAAAAAACAATTTTGGGCTTTTCGTATTTTTTAAAAAGCTTTTGTTACAATTTCATTTTCTTTCTTTTAACCCTTTTTAACGACTTTAAGCGTAAGTTCTTATAAAGTCACGTTCTTTAAGTAAAAAAATAAATAAATAAATAAAAAAAAAGACTTATACATTATCAATTTTTTCTAGGTAAATAAATAATGATGAACCGGAGAGGAGGCAAAAACTCCTTAAGTTCGTTGACTATGTCTAGCTCACGATCAAGTTCCACGTGTTCCACGAGTTCCACACGTTCAAATACAAGTATAAGAAACTTTTCAGAACAATATAGAGATGTTACACCTTCTTTCAGCACGACAACGGCAGATTCATCATCAGATGACGAGATTGCGAAAGAAGATGACCCTTTCAGTCCTTATCTAAAAAAAGAATCGTCCCCAGTGTCTCAATTTCCATCAGTATATCAACCACCACCTTTGGTAGTTGTGCCTCAGCGGTCACAACCTCAAGTATCGACGGAACATCCAGCTTCGGATAATCCGCCTGAACATTTTAATAATCAATTTCGTAGAGGAAAAAGACGTCAATTCTGGACTCCTGTGGAATTAAAAGCGCTGGAGATCGGTATGAATGAATTTGGCACTCAATGGGCCAAAATCCTGAGACTGTACGGTGGAACTCATGGTCCTTTAAGAAATCGAAATTCTGTTCAATTAAAAGATAAGGCGAGAAATGAGAAGAAAAGAAGAATCAAGTATAACCTTGAATTGGGGATATTTCACATTGCAAGTGGTGGAGAGGATATTTCGGATTATGAATTAGAGTATGATGATTAAATCTTTGTATTTTTTATAAATGCCATCAACCTCTCCAACTTTATATTATTCAAAAGAAACCCTTCTTTCATTTTTTTTTTTTAATTTTTTTTTTTTTTTTTTTTTTTATACAAAAATTAAAAAATGACAAGGCGGGAAACCTTTTTTTTTTTTTTTTTTTTTTTTTTTTTTTTTTTGTATAGGATAGTTTGCATTAGAATTTTGAAAGAACTTTGCTTAGATGTTAGCGTAGACATTTAAAATATACACGTTTCTTTTGAATCGATTACGTTTGAATTCGCCATTCCTGATTCCCATGATATTGTTTAATGAGCTAACCTTTTCTCATATCAAAATATATATTATTATATAATAAATTCGAATTATGTTTCGAAAATTTATAAATTATCTAAAACTTACCGATTTGATCACGTGATTATTCTTAGAATCACATTGATTCTATGTGACAAGTAATATGTGTAGTATATCTATATATAGGAATGCGGCACATAGAAACATTTTCTCCTTAGTGTCAAATTACTTATTGAGTAAAATCAACATATGTAACATATGTATATGTAAAGTACAAAGATGTAACGCGTCAAATTTTTTTTTTTTTAAATACTTTCCCTCCTTTTTTTTCGCGACCTAATTTTTGAAAAAAAGAAAAAAAAAAAAAAAAAAATTAAAACATGGATCTCGATAAACAACCTGAACCTTCTGAAAGCTTGTTAGAGGAAATGGACCTTGGTATGTTTTATTTTTTAAATTTATCAAGTTTTTTGAATTAATACGTGCGATAAAAGGATGGGGACGCGTCAAAATAGGTTATGGTTATATATTTATGACCGATAGTTTTATTTTTAACCTGAACACGCTTATATAAGAAAATTACTATTCTACAAAATTATACTCTAACAAAGAAAATTCATTATTTCTTGTCGTGATTCTAATCTATAGATACAGACACAGTCATAGATCAAGTTGACAAGGTTTGATTACTTTTAAAACTTTTACCCTATTATAATCTCTAGTTCCTTTCAACAAAATTAAAGAACCTATTTTTTCTTTTTGGATTTAGCCATCGAAAAGTTCGAGTGGTGTTGATAACAATGGTTACGCCTCGTCATCATCTTCAACTGTACCTAAGCGTAAGCAACCTCCTAAAAATTCAAAGGTAAAAGACACAAAAAATACAAAGGGCAAGGTTATCAAAAAATCGGAAACTGGTATGTATACTGTTATATATTATATTAATCTAATTTCATCAGATATCAATTGTTAATTCAATTTTCAAACTTTAGTTAAAAAGACGAAGTTGATTTATGAATATAAGGATGGTGAAGTGGAAGAAAGTGAAACTTTTGAATTGATCGGTGAAGATCCTGTTATTAATCAAGGGGCTAGTGATGGTTTCGAAGCCGATAAAACCTCTCTCCCTTGTCGTACACTTGATGAGTTCACTATTTATGATGTTAACTACCAAAATAGAGCGGTTAGTATCGAAGAGTTAGATGAAGAAGGTCGTGAACTTCATGTTTCTGGGATTGTTAAACCAATATATGTTGGTCAAGACGAAGAATATCTTGATGATGATGAGTATGACGATGAAGATGGTCCTATACGAATCCCTGATCAGTATTTTAGAACTAGTACTATTTTCTATTTTCAAATTGAATACTTGCAAGATGGCCAAAGGTTTGTGTCATGAATTCTAAAATTGTGTTTTTTTTTTTATTAAAAAATGATTTCCAACATCAGTTTGCGTCTTTTTTCTTTTTTTCTAATAGTGAAATTTGGATTCGCACTCAATATGCGTTTTATAAATTACTTAAAGCTTCCGAAGCTTATGTACCATATTTCATGCCAGTATTCAGAAAAATTCGTACAGCAAATGTTATAATTGAAGCTATCGCTAGTAACCCAGAAATTACTTATGAACAATTCCTCGATTTACTAAAGAATTCATCATCATTCCTAAGCAACTCTACAACGGTGGAGATATCAGAGAAAGATATTTTGAAAAATATTGATTACATTTATGAAGAATTGGAAACTTGGATTGATGAAAAAGAAGCGTTTGGAGCTCTTTCATGTCCTCTCCTAACAAGTTTACAAAAGTTAATGAAGAAGAAGAGTAAAAGATCCAAACACGTTCATTATGGTGACACAGATACTGTCAAGACCAAACGTAATGTGTCAATCAAGAGTTCCAAGAATAATCCTAATTTGGCTGTATTACGACATCAAAATCCAACTTGTGTCACTCCTTTCATTAATAATTTGACTAAAGGAATGTTTGCTAATAAATTTATCACTGTGAAACACGATATTGAATCAGAGGATGAAAAAGAGCCCCTTTTGAAGATCGAAGCACCTGTAATTACGAAACCCGTGACTCATAAAGTATTATGGAATGAAAAGCAAATTGCTAAAAGTGATGGCATTTCGTATTATAATTCTGCTATAGTTGACGGAGAAATAATTGAGGTGGGAGATGTTGTTTATGTTCGAAATGATGATTCTGATGAACCTTGGTTTGCAAAGGTTATGTATATGTTCGAGGATTCGTCAAACAAAAAAATGTTCCACTCTAGATTCTTCAATCACGGCAAAGCAACCATTTTAGAAGAATTTGCCGGTGATAGAGAGCTTTTCTTATTGGATAATTGTACTGATAATGATCTTGACACTGTCATGGGAAAGGCTAAAGTAAAGCGTCTTGATATTGATGAAGACGAGTCTTTTGACTTTGAGGATGAACATTTCTATTTTTATCGGTTAGTACAAAATGAATTTATGCAATTTACAAATTCGTCTTCTAATGAATTTAAGTTTTTAGGTTCTGGTATGACGAAAAATATGCAGCATTCGAAGAAGCTCGATTTCATGAGGAACCAAAGGTTGTTTTCAATTATTGTACAGAGTATGAACAATGTCACTCTTGTGAGAATTTTATGACCGCTGAACAAAAGGGAAAGCCAAAATGGATCTACGGAGATTCACAAGATACCTTGTTAGGTTTTACGTACAAAGGAGTTGACTATCACCTTCACGATTTTGTGTATCTTATCCCGGATGAAGGAAATGATAGCTCTTATACCACATATGAAATCGGTCAAATTGTTGAACTCTTGAATACAGGAAAGAGAACGGTCGATGATTATTTTGAAAAGAAAATTAACGGAAAGCAAAAGGTTGATGAACCCGCTTTTTGTGTTCGATTATTGGGAAGATATGATGACCTTATAAAGACAAATCCGTCAAGTAAGACTTTAGAAACAGCAACGTATCGAGATATCATACTTGATCCTCGTGATGTTAAAGATTGTAGGCGACTTTTCTTTAAGAGTGAGACTAGGGTCATAAAAAAGATAAAGGATAAATTAGAAGGTGTATGTTGGGTAGAACATAAAGATAGAATAAGTGACCTTAATTTATATAAAGACGAAATGGATACTTTTTATATAGATTACAAAACTACGAAAAAATATCCTAAATTATCGGATCTTGAAAGTATAGACGTCGATGAAGTCCAATTATGTCCTTCATGTAAAGAGAAAAGACAAAATCGTCAAAAAGAGATGTCCGAATTTTTTGAATATATAAATGTTCAACAAAAAAAACTTAGAGCAATGGATATCTTTTCGGGGTGTGGCGGCCTTACTGTTGGTATGGACCAAACTGGTATAGTTGAAACTATGTGGGCGATCGAATTTGCCTCCAGTGCAGCCCTAACCTTCGAGTAAGTTCTCTTTCATAAACTTTACGCGTTTTTTTTTTTCTGAATATGTATACCAATAACGCATTATTCCTTAATCTACAATAGAAAGAACAATCCTAATGCCATAACTTATAACCAGTGCGCTAACTTATTACTCGAAAGAGCTATCGCTGAACACAGTCGTAAAGAAAGAGTAGAACCTCTACAAGACTTTTTAGATCGTCAAGTACCAAGCATGCCTGCCCCTGGTAATGTAGATTTTATTTACTGTGGTCCACCTTGGTAAGGATTTAGTTTTTTTTTTCGAATTGGAACTATGGGATAGATTTTTGACTTATTCTATTGTATTTATTGATAATAGTCAGGGATTCAGCGGGATTAATCGTTTTCAAAAAGCGGATGACATAAAAAACAGCCTGGTCGCTACTGCATTAAGTTATGTTGATTTTTATAGACCAGAATTCTTTTTATTGGAGAATGTAAGAGGAATGTTATCCTTCCGTTTAGGAGGGAAACAAGATGGTCTAAAGATCATAGGGGGGATTAAAATGGGCGTCATAAAGTTCATAATAAGATCCTTGACTGCAATGGGGTAAGTTGAAGAATTATTCATCTTTAAAAAATATAATATAAATGGTTAACTTCTATTATTTATAATAAATAGATATCAGACAAGGTTTGGTATTCAACAGGCTGGTCATCATGGGGTCCCTCAAAGTCGTAGACGATTATTTATATGGGGAACAAAACGTGGCTCGTATCTTCCTGATTTTCCTCAACCATCTACGTGCTTTTCGAAGCATGGTTCGATCAATATCAACCTACCGGATGGTACATCATTTACATATAATCATCGTAAAAACGGATATGCGCCATATCCGGCCGTCTCTGTTAGAGAAGCGATTAATGATCTACCAGAATTCGAATTTGTGAATCCTCATCAAGTTTATCCCGCCGATAAAGAAGATATGGAGCTTAAACGTCCTTTTAAACAAATTGTGGTACCTGAAAGGGGCTGGGTCGGAGAAATGGAGTCCGAATATGGGTCCGATCCACTTTCTGAATTCCAACGACAATCTCGTAAAGATAGTACACGTGTCTACAATCAAATTTGTAGGATATTTAATAAGTTAACTGTTGAACGTATCGTTCGCATAACAATGTTTCCAGGTGCTGATCATTCAAGTAAGTACAGCAATACCTAATTTTTTTTTGGTCTTTTTTCTTATTGAGGATTTGATATTAATTAAGACTTTGAAATTTTAATAGGCCTACCTGAGAAATTGAAACCATGGTGTTTAAGTGATCCTAATTCGGCAGCTAGTCGACATAATGGATGGAAGGGTTTATTTGGACGTCTTGACTTCGAAGGTCATTTTGTCACGGCCCTTACAGATATAAATCCAATGGGAAAAACAGGGGTAAATTAAATTATTTCACAAGCTCAATTGCGGTAAATGATAGAATTACGGCTTATAAATTTCTAACCATTAGTTTTTTTGTTTTTGACGATTATATCAGACTGTTGTCCATCCTAATCAGAGAAGATTACTGACGGTTAGAGAGTGTGCACGTGCTCAAGGTTTTCCAGATAAATTCAGGTTTTACAGTGATCGTGATGATACAAAGGATATGCACAGGCAAATCGGGAACGCTGTGCCTCCTCCATTGGCTTATGCACTTGGACGGTTATTGGTGGAAGCTGTATTTAAAAAGTACAAGGATCACAAAAATTCAAAAGGGAAGGGAAAAGCTACCGCTTAAATTATGTGAATTTGTCTTAGTATGTTGTATTAAATCTCAACAGTATTAAAAATCTCAATAGACTAGAAAATTGTAAAATTGTAAAAATGTAAAAAATAAACCTTTTCGAAATTATAAATTTATCGCAAATTCCTGAATTTTTTTTAATCGGCGAGAAATGAATAAAAATTAAGAATCGCACGAGCACTTTAAAAATTTTTAATAACGCATGTTTATAATGTAATAAACAAATAAATAGAGTGTTTAGATAAATTATATTATTAATCATATATTGCAAAATTATAAAAATTGAATAAATATAAATATATACATAAATTTGTCTAGATGATAATATATTAAATTAAAATGTTCAAAAATGTTCTTAATGTCAAGCCTCAAGACCTTGAAAGTAACATAATCTTATCTTTAAATCTCCGATGCCTGCATCAATAATTTGAGGCAATAAATCTTTACTTTTTTTCCTAAATCCGTTTCCATTTTTCTTTTGCAGCCAACTCTTATTTGATGAACGACTGCTATTTTCACCATGATTTCTACCGCTCTTAGGCAACCCTTCTCTAATTCTTGTAACAGTTCTTTCTGTTTTCTTTTCAACTCTGCCGGCGCATTCATTTGTTGGAATTTCACCTTCAACTTCCAATGTGGTGATGGTTGATAAGAATTCTTTAGGTATTCGAACAACTCTTGTAAGCGTTTTAGTAATTTCCCACATTATATTTGGTTTATCTTGTTTGGAATAAGGATCAATTAATATACGTGCTTCACCCAACATTTTATCCTTACTTAAAGCATTCTTTTTATATAATTGAAATATTAAACCAGCAGTGGAAGGATCCCTTGTATAAAAAACGTATTCTAATCCAATTTCAGTCGAGTTACCATCCGAAGCAGCAGCAGCTTTAAATTTAGGCGTAATAAATCTCTGTTTTATTCTACCTTTTAAATCAACAAAAATGATCTTAATGTATGCATCTCCAATAGGTTTTTTTAGAATGGCATTCATTATTTTCACTCGAATTGTACCGACAAAATAACTATTGTCCCAATAAATTATAGGATACCACCATTTTTTCTTTGGTCTATCTTTTTCCAATTCTTTTATGGCAACCCTTTTAGTGGAAAATAATCTCATGAAATAATCCCCTTCTTCACCCACGTTAAAAGTGCTTGGTATAAGAACATATTTACCACGTTTCAATAAAATTCTTGCGGTAACCTCTCGGGAATTAATATAATTTACGCGTCCAGCCACTTCATAAGTAGGTTTATGAATACGATATTTTCTATTCTCTTCAATTTTTAATAGAATGAACCCAATGGTAAGATTCTCCTCATGAATAAAAGCATGATGATCTTGTTGCATTAATGCTATAACTAAAGTAGTTGATTTATAAACTTTAATGAGATATTGTGGATTTTGATGAAAAGTTTTTTGATTATTAATACAACCGCCAGTCGTTAATTTATCCCTTGACCATTCCCCTCTAAATATTTTACCGTGCCATCTTCTTTCAAATGAAAATATTGAAGTATTTAAATGTCTACAAATAATCAACGTGGAAAAATTGGATATCCAATCCTCAAATGACATCCAAAAATCACCATCATCAGCGATCTTAAAATCCATATCCTTACGTTTGGTTTTACTTATCGATTGCCATTTATCGGATCTATCACTCCAATCCCCATTCCATTCGACCTCTCCCCATGGATTATGTAATCGAATTAAAATAATCTCATTCTGAGAATTTCTTCTCATTAACGGAGCTCTGATCCTTCGTATATCAGTTACGCCATATGCATGACCTATTATTAATCCATTTGGTAAACGTTCCTGTTGCCTTTCATCTTCCAACGCATTAATACTACAACTCATCAATGCACCTCTTTGTCTCGCGGTTTGTATCATCATTACAAATTTTTTTACTCCCATCTGTCCAACAATATTATTATAATTGTCAGGACTAATCTGATTATTAGTAGGACTAATTTGATTAATAGGTACACTATCAATATCTGAAAAGGTTGAATGATTTGGCAGATCAAAGTTCTTTGGAATTGAATTTGGTAAATCGATAGTCTCAGGAATTGTTCCAGTTAAATCGACCAAAGCGTCAGAAGCGCTACCAGATTTCAACGCTTCATAACATTTACATAACTTTGCATAGGCTTTCTCAAGTAATGGCACCCACATTTCATTCTGATCTTTTGAACGAGCATAAATTAATCTTCCATCTCTCGTAGGTAAATAATCATCAACTACAACTTCAATCCATTCCCCAAATCTATAAAATCTAAACCTGAATACACCAGGGTGACGTTCAGTGTCTCTAAAATGGTAAACACCCAATTTTTTACCAGGTTCATTACTATGACACCAATCTTGATCCGCCCCTCTCGGTATAACTTTAAGCAATAATTTTGGATGCGCTGCCAATACTCCTAAAGCACTAATCAACCAACAATTTCCAACCGCTCCTTGGATCACATCTGTATTAATTATGCCAGACATTCCGTCATTATTGGTGTACTTAAATAGATGTGGATTATCCGTTAAATCTTTACATCTCTTCCATTCAACCATATCTCCATGATGATGATTGGAAGGTTTAAAGAATAGTGAAGTATCATTTGTTGGAAAATGTTCATCTTGAAAATTTTTTCCTGTCCTTGCACACTCTAAAAAGATCTTTTTATAATTCTGCCCAAATAATTTACGATATTTTGGGGACATCCTATTAAAAAAAAAAACCAAAACCAAAAACAAAAAAAAAAAAAACAGAGAAAAAGAGAGTGTGTGTGGAAGTGTGGGGGGAGGGAGGAATTTTATAAATTTAAAAAAAAGGGATGTAAGTTGACCATATATATATTTATAATTTAAATGTGAAACGTTAAATTATTCAATTACCAAACAAATATGTCATATGCCTATCGTCCGTAATACGCGCGTAAATCTTTTTTTTTAATGTGCATTTAATTTAACCATATTTCGTTTTCAATGTGTTATGTATAAGTGACCAAAATGGGCCGAGATATGTCATTAGAATTTGAATGACGACTTGTAATATTATTTTCTAGAAAAAAGCTATTTTAGTCATATGCAACCTTAAAATTTGATCCAGTAATATCACTTGCGTTATGGTGCGCATTGAAATTAAATCAGAAGACGGGTAAAATCACTCATTTTTGGTTTTCACGTGCAATTTCCACCATTTATTAAGATCAATTTATTCTCACGAGATAAAATTCTTAAAATGCAGGCACAGTATAAACTATAAGGATATTCTTAGGCATGACAAAAATAGGATCACTACTTAATTCACGGTTACGCAGTTACAAAAAAAAAAGATATACAGAGGGGCCGCCAAAAGTCTCCGAACACCACTTTTTAGGTGCGATTCAATATCGGCAATTTCATGTGACTTAGAAATACTGCGGTCATATGACGTTTCG